GTAATGTTAATTCTTGCCTGTGACTCTTTGAATAAACCAGCACGGTTATATTTTTTATATATCCAAGTGGTCTGAGTCGTCCCTCTGAGTTCCTGGTTTGAAAGAACCGAACGTGGCTTTATAATAGAATAAAGCCTATACTGGTAACATTAACTGTCTTAACACCAGATTAAAACTAGTCACAGCACTAACTGGCAAGGGGTTAAAAGGTCATCAACTAGGAGTCAGAGGATAACCATAAAAAGATCAAAGAGATCACCTTTGAACACAGAGGGGTGCCGATTTCCCAATCCCACGACCATGTTCTCATTCACCAATGCACACACATTATCTCAGCATGCAAGGTGTTGGCCTAACCACTGGGAGCAATTAGGGTTCAGTGTCCTGCTCGAGGATGCCCAGAAATGGAACCCCCTGCCCTGCAATTAACGACTACCTGACAAGCTCCCGTGACAACCTATTATCAGGTGGCTGAAATTTCCAAATTTATTCATGTGAAAATAACTGAGCAAACTATATCCACTTACGAAGATTGTGAAATGCTGTTGAACAGTATGGATCACAGCCAGTAAGTGGACATTGAGTTGAGATTTTCCTTTTGTCATGGCAAAAGCTTAAAGTGATTTCACAGAGATGTATTCTATCACTGACACACTCTTTGTAGACCCTAACTGAACGATGCCTGGAAGATAAGAGATGTATTCTATCACTGACACACTCCTTGTAGACCCTAACTGAACGATGCAAGCTCTCCTACATTAGGCATTTGAAATGGCTTCATACAGCCAGTGTGTGAGTCACTGTGCCTCATCACAGCCCCAGTGACATTAACAAATGAGCAGCTGCTGTGAGCTTCTCAAGCAGCTGTAAATCTCCATATAGTCCACATGCCAGAACAAGTAAGGACACCAACAGTGCAACTGTGTGTGACAGATAAACTAACCTAACAGAACATCTGACAACATCTAGGTATGCTCATGCTAAATACCTCAGAGTATCAGTAATTATGTTGCAGAATACTGGAGCAGCAGTCAAACACAAGTGAATACAATGGATTTAATTCTTATATGAGGCTTCTGCTAGAGTAATACTGAAAAAAGATGATGTAATGGATATTGTTCTACTTAAGTTAATCATAATGTGAGACGTCATGTAACCTTCAACTAACTTCAGTGTAGCCCCCTCCACCCCCTTCTGAAACCAAACCTATGGCCTTGGTAAAGCTCTCCTCATTAAAGCCCCATCAGCGAGTCGCATCATTACCTGTTTATTCCTTTCACTCCTCTCTCTCCTCCCTCTCTTCTGCTCTTTCTGTTAGCCAGCCAGCTGCCACACACTCTAGAGGATTTTCCAATTAGAAACAACATACACAGACACAAATGTGCACTGGTGGATATTCCAATTAAATAAAACACACTCAAATGCAAACACACATGAAGTCGCTGTTGGACATTCTAATTAGCTGAACAAACACAGCATGAACTTTGCTCAGACTATCCAATAAGACAGGGCGCTTCAGGACATCAACACACACACACACACACACACACACACACATAAATTCTTACATACAGATGACTTCTTCAACCACACATGCTGTATGCATGAACACAACATAAAGGTACTATTACACATTGGCACCTACCTACAAATGGTCACAAGCAATATAATGTATGCGAGGACATGGATGCACACAACATAAGAACTCTCTCTCTCTCTCTCTCTCTCTCTCTCTCTCTCTCACACACACACACACACACACACACACACACGTGTGTGTTTTCATTCTTCATGGGGACTTTACTGTACATTGACTTATATTAATTATTAATTTCCTAGAAATTTAACCTTAACCATAACCACTACTACCCTAACACCTTATACCTAACCTTAGATCATTTTTCCACCCTAAAATTCAGTGACTTACAAGGTGGACGAGGAAGGCTGAGTCCCCACAGTGTAAGTGTGTCAACAGGTTTCGGTCACCATATAATGTGAGTAATACCAAGGGCGCGCACACACACACACACACACACACACAAAGAGTAGCTTGGAGATTAGAAAAGCTGTCTTTAGCCATAAGGTGACCTGTTTAAAACTGATAACGAGATTACAGGGAGGGCGAATGAGTAAGTAACGCTCTCCTGATTAGGTTATTAATTGTAGTTATACCAGCCCTATCACATTGCATGAATGTGGTGAAATGGGGAAAAAAACTAATTAAAAAAAACTTGCTCACTTCAAAGTTCCTGCATCAATAAGTGGCCAAAACTCTCTGACTTCTTGAGGGAAAAATGAGACTAGCAAAGAAAAAACACTATATAACATTCAGGTAGACTATGATTTCCCTGATGTGTGATTAGACAGGATCACTTTGATGTCAGCTTTTTGCCATGTGACAGAGTCAGGCACATGCCTTGAAAGGAAAATGAGCTGAGAGGCAGTGAAAGGGAAAAATGAAAATTGCCTGACTGATACTCCAAAATAGGGAGAAGACTATAATAGCTGACTTTTTTATTGAAAGAAAGGAAGGAAGGACTTGAACCTGCTATAACTACACTGGTTTAGTTCAAAAGATGGCCATGCATCGTACTGATGTCTTCAGAAGGTTTATTTTTTCCTCTCTCTTTGTATTTCATCAGACACCATGAAAACTACAGAAAAAAAGTAAAAGAATTTAAGCACATTTCACACTGTCTTTACGGAGTCTTAGGCTAGTGTCCACTGACAAACTCAAAACTGGCTAGCATAGCGAAATGTGCTGAACTTGGTTAAATGTACTCCTGCATCAACACTGTCCAAATAAAGGCACATAAACAACATTAAGCACAAATACAACATATAAAGTACATTTACTATGTGCACCTCTAGAATAGATGCACTATCAAGAAATGGAATCCATAAACCACTGCTGCTTTAGCTACACAAGATACACTATGTACAGGGTGTTATAGATCAGATTAGCTTTTAGTATTGTGTGTGAGTGTGTGTGTGTTTCTAAACTGATAGGGTTAAAACCTTCTTACTGGCTGTCACACCATCACTCACTCACTTGCACACCTAATTATTGTCTCCCTGAGAAATACTGTACAAGTACAGTATGTTTTTCTATTATATCATTGTCTATTAATGTGTGCATGGATGTGTGAAGTAAGTAACTGCGCATCATCATTGATTACACATAACATAAAATATCTCAATAACACAATATAGTGTGCATGCAAAATATGTATTGTAGATCTGTAATAAAATCATATCAGTCATGATACTAACCTTGCTTTTACAGAAAGGCTATTCATACACATATACACCTAGTGGAACTTTCATCTCAGTCACATCATGAAGCCATCAATAATTGACTAATGCCAGTAGGACTAAGTTCTAAAAGCCTTGACCAAAGCATGTATCCAGTCAATCAGCTAGAGGGAAAATCCTCTTGACCTCTTAAGGGACTGTCAGGAAAACTTGAACTATAATCCATTAATATACAACTGTAAAACATACTGTAGCTACCTCTTTGGGTCAAGAGATAAAGTTTTGATCTCCAGAAAGGTTTTCTGTGTGGGAGAGCAAGTAGAATTTCTGCCATAGCAATGCATGCAAATGTATGTCTCAAAAAAGTGATTTCAAAACTAAATAATGCTGCTAAATAGGCTCAGAAGAATTTAGTCATGCTCACAGAAAGCCCATAAAACAAACTGTTACAACCCATCTATCAGAGAATTGTTAACCTACTGTATATTGTAGAAGACTTTTCACAGAAATATACATACATCGCCACACAAAAATCAACTAAATACATTGCCCTCTCCATGGAGTCAAATCATCCTCACACACACACACATACACATTTACTCTGCAGTCATCTTTCCTGTAGACTGTGATATCCCTAAGTAAACTACTTTAAATCAGAAAGTGGTCATATACAGTACAGCGTAATTTAATAGATAGGCAGGGAGACCACCAGACATATACACTATGGTCTCATCCTCTTTGCAGATTCAGAAATCCTAAAAATGATGGGATTAAGTACAGACAACAGCTGTATACACACACTCTCTCTAGACTGTAGTTTACAAAGAAAATGTTAAAAACAGAAGATAAAGTATGCAGGTTAGGTATGTATTTAGCTTGACATAAAAAAGAAACACGCACACACTCACCCTTTCTGCAGACTGTGATGTGCCAAAGAAGATGGGTATAAATGCCAGCCAGATGATGCATGTGGTGTACATGGTAAATCCAATGGGCTTGGCCTCGTTGAAGGTTTCTGGCACACCTCGTGTCTTGATGGCGTAAACTGTGCATGTCACCATCAGCAGGATGGAGTACCCCAGGGAGCAGATAAGGGACAGGTCAGAGATGTCACACTTAAGGACGCCGCGTGCTGCCATGGGGTCCTGGGTCCGCTGCTCGCCGTAGTCCACAACAGTGTGGGGAGGGTCTACCGCGAACCAGACAAAGACACCCAGTAGCTGAACCGAGATGAGGGAGAAGGTGATGACAAGTTGGGAGGCAGGAGAGATGAACCTGGGAAGGAGAGGGTTACTGATATGAGGAGGTGGTGCAGCAAGAAAACAATGCTGCCAGAGTTAGATGTGTCATTTTCAATGGGGCAAGTTTTCTCTCACAGAAAATATTGTGTTCTGGAAAAAAAAAAAAAAGAACACCTGGGTCCTTCACAAAGCAACTAAATAATTTGTCCAGCCTTTCCCGGAATGAATGTGGAAAATCATTAAAAATGTTTCTATGTATGGCCAACAGCAGTACAATAACACTACCTACAGCTGGATGGTGCTGACAGAAAAGCAGGTGACCATCTGTGCAGCAAGGACATAAACCTTAGGACTGTTAAATCCTGCGTTAACTAACTTGATGCTCACTCCCAGAGCCCCTCACACTGAGTGCAAATAGTACAATAGGTGAGTGAGTTCATGATTCTCATACATAATGTATGAAAATGAAAAATAAATGATGAATAATGACTGCAAGCAGCTTAGTAAGAAAGTAGAGGTTAACTTTATGTAAATACACATACAGCACAAAAAAAAACACTCACAGCAACCTTCATATGCTGAGTATGTGACCAGGTACATTAGTACCTGTATTGACAACATTGTGCCCACCATGCATTACATCAGGATACTCTTCATTGACTACAGCTCTGCCTTCAACACAGCTGTGCCCCACAAACTGTCCACACTGGGTCTGCACCCTGCCCTCTGTGACTGGCTCCTGGACTTGGCGGGCAGGCCCCAGACTGTCAGGACTGGCAATAGAACTTCAGCCAGCACTAGAAAATTGCATTTTCTGAAGGAAAAGCGTATGGATGCTGAGTACTGATAAATCACCCAGAAAATGCTGAACATTGACACCTGAATGCTTTTGCTAGCTGAAAGTATACTGAAGTTGGAATTTCTCCAATTATTTGAATGGGGTATGATTTTCAGAATAAAGCTAAATATTTTAAAATGTATGAAGTTTAGAAAACTTCTGAAGAGAAGCATGAATGTCCTTGAGGAGCTGAACATTTTGAAAGCTGAAAGTTTGCTGAAATAGAATTTTCCCATTCATTTGAATGGGGCAAGATTTTCTTAATAAAGCTGAATTTTTAAAATGTATGAAGTGTTG